CTTTCTCACATATTGTGACAAATTGTTCAGGGTTCTGCTTTAAATTGATCCCTGTCAATGGAAAAACACACAGAGAGGTGCATGATGTGATTAATATTGTGCAGCGTTTATATGGGGAAAAAAATGGTTTTATTAACGTGAAAAAAATTAAAAATTCTGGCTTTTAGCTGCAGCTTAAGAATTATATGGCTGCTACAAGTCTCACCTTCAGTGACATATTGGGAATCTTTATGTATTGAATGACTCGCGAGAAAGTCTAATAACTTATTTATCTATGCCGAAGGCGTCTATTTGACAGTGTGAAATAATAATACCTGTGGGTATTTACAAGGATAAGAAGTCTTGTCATTGAATCCAAGTGTAATGATGCAACGGAACAAATGAAACTCTTCCTTCCATGAAGAAAGAAATAAAGGAATAAATGAAACTCTTTTTTCTCAGTCACAGTCATATTTTTGGTGGAGTTTTTTGCTCCTACTCTTCACTGTTCAAGTTTCTTTCAAAACATATTACCAAGACTAGTTAAACTTTTCCAGATGTCCACTTATGAAACATCTGCCTAGGAGCTTATTCTAGGCTGATTTGTTCATCATCTACACTTGTATGGGTACATTACTTTAACAAGGACACATTTTTTTTGCTTTAAAGTCTAAACATGGCAGATGTACTTCTTGCTTTGAAGGTTGTTTTAATGTGGAAAACAGTTCTGTTTAGATTAAGGCTGGTCTGTGTTCACGCCAGAAGGAAGGAAGGAAGGAAGGAAGGAAGGATGGATGGATGGATGGATGGATGGATGGATGGATAGATGGATTTTATTTATTTTTAAACTTTCTGATAACTGTGTGGATGAAAACAAATCAAATGTGGTTTTTCAATTGATGTATAAATATTGCCCTAATGAAACGTTTTTTCATCCCACACTAATTTAACATGACTCCCAGTCGAAAACAGCAGACCCTCCTCTTTTTCCATTCATGTAAATATATTTAGCCCCAGCCATACTTTGCTGCAGATCAGCTTCAACATACTTAACAGTTCAAAAACGTTTGATTTCATAGAAAAGTTTTGCAAGAACACAAAAATAGGCCATGAAAGACATAGAAAGCAGTTTGAGTCTACCATGGACTGGAACATGTCCAGTATCTCATTCCTACATGTGCAAAGCTAAAACTCCAGACTCAAAATCTAAGGGTTCCTAATCTTCTTCAGGCAAATATAAATCCAAGTACATATTATTGATGTGTAGCAGATGCTTGTACTGTGATTAATTTACCAATGATATCACCAAAAACTATAAACAGAAAGGAAAGAATGAAATGGGCAAATGATCGAGTAATTTAGAAAGAGTCATCGGATGAATTTTAACATTGTGTGTCTGATTGTTGTGTAAGATGTGTTCTAGATGACTGACCACATCATTGCTCTAGGAGCACATCACGTCGAATCTACAAGGAACTGTAGGCTGACACTGTTAAACCCCGGACAGTTACAGTCTGGAGGAACAAGATAATCATGTCTTATGCATTGTGTGCACACAGTGTATATTCAATTAATATCTGCTTTGCTGAGACAGCACCTCATCTGTATAATCATGTTTCACTGCAGCTGCCAGGGTGTGGAATTTCACCTGAGCACCAAACCCCTCCTCGAGTTGTCACCTCTCAGATGAAATGCATTTATGCATATAGCTTTGGGAAATCGTGAAAGTAAGACGCATCACTCTGCCTCTGCACGTGTCTACTGGTGCTAACTCACTGACATAAGCTGTAATGTAACTAAATTTAGACTTGTCCAATGTCTTTTCTGTTTGACGAACATTATTACTGGCACACTCATACCACCCACTATGTGTGCAATTAAATAGAAAAGCATATTCAATAATTTTCTGGGCCAACTTTGTCAAAGAGGCAAGAGGAAGGAGATGACCTGCACAGACCATCAGAGAAACAAATTTGCTTATTCAAAATCGCTCCTGATATCAGCTTCTAACAGTCAATTACCTTACTTTGTTTTCCTTCAGCATTCTGTAAACACGCAGAGTTTCCCATCAAATACATGCAACCAAAAGACAAAATGCAAACTTCACACAGACCAAACATACTTTAAGAAATGATAAATTCATCTACTGGCTGCTCTTCCATGTGGTTGATTTATCAAGATGGACTTTTTTGGTGAATTTCAAATTGGTAACTTCATTTAATAAGCAGCAGGTATCATATGTAGTTGGGAGCTTCCACATTTGGATAACGAAGCAAAGCGTTTATCCACATAGTCTAAGGAGTTCTGGGGAAACATGCAAGTTAGTTTTGGGTAACTTGTCAACAAGCTCACCTCACTTAACACAATAGAACAATCTTACACCTCAGCTGTTACTCAATTCAGTTAAAAGAGTAAGTTATTTAGAATGTGGAGACTGTAAATCCCCCTTCATCACGCCATTACAACAGTGGTTCTGCATGTCATTCATTGATGCCGGCAAACATGCGGTTCCACCAGATGTTTGCCAATTGCTGCTGCAATTAGAGGCAAACACTCATTCAAATACTCATGAATGAGGCAAAGCATAAATGGTGTGCTGCCACTGGAAGTGCGCCTGCATGCAGAATCTTTTATTGTGACAATGCTGTTATTTATTTATTTCACTAAGGTGGATGGTTTGCATTTCTGTGTTTCAGGGACTGGGGCGATGGTGACAGTGGTGACCCTTGGCCATGTTATCTTGTTTGGTGTTTCGTTTTCTTTTTTTCTTTTTTTTTGTTGGAGCACCCCTTTTTGCTTTTGGTTGCTGTGTTTTGTAATGTCAAGGGTGATTATCGGTTTCTTTCACTGGCTGTTGTCCCCCTGTCCCTCACAACTCCTTTCCTGATAAACGTCAGTATTTCCTTATTTTTTAAAATATATTTTAACTTCAGCCAAAGTCCTAATTATTTAAAATTGATTAAAAGTTCAAACAATGTTTTTTATTATATCATTTTTTAAGCCTTAATTTGTGTGCTTATTCTGCTATCCCCTCTTTTTGGTATATTTCCAGGTGGCACTGCTGTTTTTTTTTTTCTTTCTTTACTCATTTTAGCAAATTTATGAGACTTAATATCATCCATTATAACAACTTCTTATCTTTAAAGAAAACCATATTTCCACACAAAATATACAAAGGTATGACATATCACACATGATTTAGTTTTTTTTTCGTTTGTTTGTTTTCTTTTTACTGCATCTTGTAAACTGCTTATGGCAGATAGTCCTCCCTCCTTCTGGCAGACACAAAACTAGGTATGAAGAAGGCAGTGAGGGCTACAAACAAGAAGAAAATAAGATTGTGGTACAAATTGTTCTGCCACTAAAATGAAATCATTTTTCTACCTGCTTCCAAGATGGGGTGAGTGCCAGAGCTAAAAGTCCATAATACAGTGACTTCAATAAGAGTCTGGAGCAAAATTACGTGAATGTCTTCTGTCTCAACATTAACTCAATATGCAATACAGCTCTCTCTCTCTCTGTCTGTTTCTCTCTCTCTCTCTCTCTACCTCTCTCTCTCTCTCTCTCTCCCTCTCTCTCTCTCTCTCTCTCTCTCTCTCTATGTCTCTAATGGCTTCAACTAAATATGCAAAACTGGCTTCTTAGCTACACTTTGGTCGGCAGCACAATAACTGCATCCTGTTAATATTTCCAACAGACAGGTCAATTACTGCAGCTCAGAGTCCAGAGTGAACATATTTAGGACATTTAAAGTTCTATAATTATCTTAATCACTTTTCTTATCAAACTGGATTCATCTTCCTCATGCTGGTTTCTGCAGCAGCACCAAACTATGTTATAAAGATCTCAAGTTTCCCTGAATCGGGTGTCACAGCCGCCGGCCAATGCATCTCTGTGTATATTTAACCTGGACTAATGTGTTTGCGCAGTTTGCCATGTTTAATGCCTTGAACGGGACCGTTTCTGGTTTCCAAACCATGCCTTGTTAATCCTGGGTGAGATGCCCCCGGGCGTCTCACCCAGGATTGTTGTTTGCCTATTAAAATGCAGTTAAATTCTCCACTTGATGCGTTTGTGGTTTTAAAGTGAGCTCTGCACCATTGAGCTTTTTTCATTTGTACGAGCCGCCGGAAAACGGCTTGGTTGAGCCGTGCACTGATAATTTTGTTGCATGTAAGTTAGTACGCCAGGACTTGGCATATGTTCAGCCCCAGTTTGCTCTGTGCTGAATCTGTAAAAACCTGCACACAATTGCTACGCATGAAGTATGTTATTCATCTAGCTGCAGAGAAACTGGGTCAGTTACTTTAGTTGCATAGTCACTGTCGGAACAGGTTGATTTTTACTGTTCAGAGTATTTTGTATTGTACAGTGACTTTTATATTTGAGGGACGCCATTTTAATCATCGCGTAGAAACTGGAGTAATCATTAGATGATCATTAAAACATATCATATATTTTATGATCATATAAAGCATATGATCATAAACATGCTTTTGTTTGAAGTAACTAATTCTGTACACAATCAGAGGTAAATGTCCAAGCACAGATTCAAGAACTTCAAGAGATACTAGATTGTCTTTACAAAAATGAGCAATTTCTTAGATGAGCAGCACATCACCAATTAATAGTATTACGAGGTATTGCAAATGCATGCATTGTAATGTATATGCAAATAGAGGATAGTGTATGTGTAGCATATAGAGGTCACTAAATTCCAGAGGTAAACAAAAGTTTAAATAGAAAAAAAAATAACAGTGGTGAAGCTTTAATAAAGGTTTATTTGTTTAACATTGTGAAAAAGAAAATTATGCCTGCATGTACGTAAGCACAATGCAATATTATATACCTACATTTTCCAAAGGGGGTCCATTGAACTGTTAATTAGCAATAAGAATCTTCGAACCAGAAGATGTAATGCAAATGCAGTAAAACAATTCCACAGTTTCCTACAGAGTCCATTTTGCAGTAGCACACTCTTGGATTCATAAAACACAAGAAAAAACATGAACATTGCCTACCTCTATCTGATATGGTGTGTTAGATTAGGACTCAACATGAAGATAAATTGCAGTCACAGTGACAGGTAGATGGACAGAAAAGAGGAGGGACCGAGGGAAATGGATCCAAAGCCCTAGGAGAAAGAACAGAGAAACATGAACATGGTTAGAGCTAATAAAACCCAGACGTCCCAGTGGCTTTGTAAAACTACCTCAGAGTGGGTCTCTCCTTTTGCCCCCCCACCTATTTGTGGGACCTGCAATACATCACTGGTAAACTCTGACATAAAAGTTTGCCGTTTGGTTCACAAAAGGAAAAACATTACTGCACTTGCTCCCTTCATACATTGATGGAATATCAGCCGTTTCAACACAAAGTTTTGAAATTACATTACGTGATCTGCATAAAGTCTAGATGTATTGAAATACTTTCAGAACTAATTCAATCATAAACCTCAATCAGGACAAAGCTAATTTCTCCTTATTGTTTATTTATGGTCATCTGAACAGAACACTACACATAGTAAGAGCTTTATAAGATAAGACTAAGACTTCAATTATGTTCATGGAAGGAAGAAACCCTAGAAGCCAGAACTTAATCTGAATAATTTACCATCAACACTGGAAATATTTTTGAGTACCTTAAAAATTGTGGGCAGTGATGCGAAGAAATGTGTCCCTCTTTTAAACCGTCCATCCAATATTGATCAAAGCACTATTAAAAGGAAACTGACAGTCTGTACTTTTTGAGTTTCAGTGGAGTGCACACAATGAATTACACATCAAATAGGATGAAGGCATTATGGCATTCAGTTTCCAAGCTGTCTGAGCTAACAAGCCAAAGACTATTAGAAAATTATTATTACTCCTATCAGGGATCTAAAGCGGTCTCGTTGCCGATTCATGTTGTAAAAAGGTGACACAGCAAAAGGACAGCTGACATCCTCACATGCAATGTGGCAGTCAGCACATAAGTAACAGATGGCCCCTGGCTAATAGAGTTTATTAACTTTACATAAAGAGGAGGTAGATAATTGCACATCATAAAGAAAAGGTTAGGGCGGTAAAATATATCAGCAAGTGTGGAAGAAAGTCGTGTCTGCGCACTAATTAAAGGCAGCAGAGATAATTTAATAATTAAACGTTTCATCAAATCTAGATCAACAGCAGTTTGTTTCCGAAAGAACAGGAGTGTGGGTATATGTTTTACTTTTTATTTTTTTCTGTAATAATGTTAGACTTTTTTTTTTTTTCCTCGCATAACCTGAAAATGTATGTTATTGAGAAATAGCGACAGCATGAACACTTCTGTCAAAGTCTGCCCAAAAACAGAGGCTGGTTTAAAAGTATAAAGTACTAATTATCTTTCATGAGAGTCTCATCTTCTATTTATGTGTGCTTTTTGCCTCAACTCTTTGTTCTATCAGAACAATACCCGAGAGGATACTTGGCAGCATGATATCCTGCTGCAGTTAAGTCCCTGGTGGCAGGTGCTTCTGGCTTCAATAAGGTACATAAAATTATTGTACTCAATTGCATGATGACTTTCAGAAACCCTAGAGTTTCATTACCAAAAACTACATGTCGGTTTTAATGGGGGAAATAATCCCATCGGCAAATAAAACTTTTAAATCTCGTTTTAGTAATAAAAAAAAAGAAGCCCATCCTACTAATTTACAGTAGTAGGAAAACAATCAAGAAGGTACTTAATGACATTTGCAGAAATGTTTTTGTCACCATTTGCAATGTTAATTAATTACTAATGTTATTAATGTGAGTTGGATGGAGTCTTACTGCAATAGATGGTCACACCTGACAGACGAGGTAGCAGTGTAATAGGACTGTGCTAAAGTATGGAACGTCAAAAGCAATATAATGAAATATGACAATAAGGGGAAAATGGAGATTTGTTGTCGCTGATATCCTGACAATCTTTAAAAGAGATGCAACAAAAAAAATCTGATTTTTCAGCTTTTCCAGCTGAGAAAATCCTCTTGGGAACTCTTCTTCCAAGTAATAAACTTGCCGTGCATTATTGCTGCAATATTTAGATTAGAAGTGGCTAAAATGAGTTGGTCAAAGCTATGCAAAACATATTCTGCCCAGTTTGTTGATGCACTCTCCCAGTCATTAAAAGCAGGTAGACGCAACTACTCTGAAACAAAGCAAAGCTGCGGTTAGAAACTAAAGTAAATATTAATGGGCAAACATTAATTTCCCATGTCCGCTTTGTCCTTTCTGTGGCCATGAAGAAACGGGAGCTCATCCCAGTTCAGAGACTGCCAGTGCATCACAGAGGCCGGCCAAGACAAACAACCCTCGTGCTTGTTAAACAAAAGTCAGGGGAAAAAACTGATAAATTACAGGTTGACAACTCTGATCTGGTGCATTTGTCAAAGTAATCAGTTTATCTGCTTTGAGTACATTTATTTTAACCACCTTTGGGCTTTGAACGTGTCTTTGAAACATTTATTATCGCCTCATTTGAACCATACACTACTGTCTGATCTCGAGAAAGGTATTGATATTCCGCATAGACCCCTGCTATTTTTAGCGACTGCCCCTCTGCATGAGATATGTTATGCGGTGCATGCTGACCTGCCGGGGAGCTTGGAAGTATATATACGCTGTATTCAGGCTCTAAGGAGTGTGTGGAAAAAAAAAAAAAAAGAAAATATGTAATACTGTATATATGCTGTATGTGTGGAGGAGAGGGATAGATATATACTTGTCTACATGATGGATTACGATCCTCAGATATTTCTAACTTTAATCATGAAACCTAAAAGGAGCAAGAAAAAATGGTTTTATATAAACAAACAGCAGTGATACCTAAAGCGAAATCCATATCTCCTATTTTACCAAATCCATTCAAATATGAAACAGTGAATTGGTATGAATGTGTTTTTTTTTCTTCATGTGCGTTTCCTCTACCTTCTTCCTCCCCTCCTCTTGAAGTTGCTTTTTTTTTAATTATTATTTTATTTTGCTGCTTCAACATAATACAATATGCTAATTTGTTCTCTTTGTCACTGTCAGGCAGGTTTGTAGTTCCTGGTTTGATCTCTACTAACCTTCTGGGTTTATGTTTGTTAGCACCTCAGTGATACTCTTGTGGCAATTCCGCATTGCATACAACATAAGATGCAAGTTTTCGGTGATATTTATGACCGTTTCTTTACTAGAATAATTTACGTTAGAAGCATTTAAAAAATCCTCTCCAATTTAGGTGAAAATTAAGATGTAAAATGCATGAAAGTGTGGGAAGTATCATTAATTCAGGGGGATTCTGGAATTGTTTATTCAAATTAGAGTCCGATAGTCCTGCTGCGAGTCTTGGTTAGTGCATTTATTGAATTACTAAATACATAATATATGATAGCCATTTAAACATTTAAAATTTAAATAGGAAACAGGCATAAAGCACTTAAATTGGGAAGGTGTGTGATGTGACTTGGTTGTCACATCACTCACCTTCAGTCTCTGAAAACAGTTTTTGGTGGACAAGAGCTACACAGAGCACTGACCATCTAAAGAAAAGCTACAAGTGGAACAACAGTGCCTTGCATACATTTTCTTTAGACATCAAGTGCAACCTCATGGATTTGAGTTATTCAACTAAAATTCAAAAGCACTTAGACAACAGCTGAACCAAATAAAAATCAAAGTATCGAGAAATAGTGCAACCTCTAAAAATAAGAAAGCATCTGATTTTTTTCTCCTGATATCCCAAGTACAAATTTTACGATTACATTACATATATTTACTGCGCAAGATAGATCACTGCATATCTTATCTCACCTTGGCTTTGTTGTAGCAGTGCATGCTTCCTGTGTTAAAGATAAAAGATAGATTACATTGTTGGGATGCTTTCACTGCTTCTTTTGAGGTGCTCCCTTTCAAAGCCATCAAAGCGGCGTGTGCAACGTGGGGAAAAAAAGAGCAAAGCTTCTGCTTCCAGCATCATGCACAGTTCTTGCTCCATGCTGCACGCTCGTCTACAATTACAACGGTATGGCACTTTTTCTAATATTTTGGAAGTGCAGACAGAAGCCAGCATCTATGAGCCATTTACTTTTTAATTGCAAGTCTGGAGACAGTGACACAGGTGCAGGATGAGCTTGTAGGGAGTTATGTATGGGATCCCAGTGCTGAAATCTGTGCCCAATGTGTTGGATTATGAGCCAAGTGAAAAATGTCCTTGGCATAGAGAGGACCCTGTGATGTCTTACCTAAAGTTATATTATAAGCAGCTTCCTCATCTCATGGATCTCTAGCTTGTCAAATAAGTTGCTGTCCTAAATGTTTCATTTTCACGTCTCTGGACAGCATTTTCAGTAATGACATTAAATTGATTTAATGATAATTAACCAGAAAATGTGATATTGCACGTTTTAGAGAGGGAGTGTAAATGGAAGATGGAAATAAATGATCATTTTCATTCTTTTTAATGGGGACACTTGTTTCCACAGACTAAATTTCAGTGTAGAAATTCACAGTTTTTTGGACTGAAAACAAGAAGTGTATATATTGCAGCGAAAGGAAAAACAGATGACCAAAATAGCTACCGTCTATAAAAAGAAACAGTATGCAAGACTAAAACTGTGCTTCCCAAGCACATTTGTCTTTCACTTGGACTCGCGTAATTTATTACCCGTTAAATCAACCATACAACATCACCACTATAACCTTTCTTCTTCAGATATAGTTTAATGACCAGGTCACCATAATCAGATTAATTTTGGTTCCTTATTACAAGGGCAGCTGCTTTGCATCCAACCAATGCAGCACCGGCATATCGAGTTGGAGATACTGCAGCAAAGAAAAGCTCTTGTTTCAGCCTCACCCCATTTACTTATTAGAGTCACATCACTTGACCCGTTTTAGTGACTGAGAAAATTGGCGTGACTGGTCCAAGGTAATTATGCCGAGAGTCGGGTAAAGATGCTAGTCTAATTTACTGAGCCCCACAGCGGAATGGAAAAGGTGGTCAGCAATCTTTTCCATCTTTCCATGTTATCGTCAATACACTCAGATAAATTGTTTTGTCCATTAAACCTCCGCTGTAAAAATGCATCAATTTGTATCTCATTAAAACCTTCAAGAAACAGGAAGCGATGGTGATACATTTAAGGA